ACAAGATCAGGATTAACGGCTATTTCTTCCGTTTTAAATTGGAAGTAGGTGTACTGATGTTAGCAACTTGACATCCAAATTCTCGTGTCTGGTAACTAGTTCACGCCTAGAGTGACAATGTTTCCTTATTAGTGTCCACGAGAGACAATCAGCTTCTGGAGTCTGAGCAATAAGGTTCAAAATGAATTTAGTACATCGGTTTAGGTATTATCTGTGATCTGAGTATTCCGGTATGAGTTGGGCTGTGAATAAATTTACATTGAAGTTCATTACCACTTCCTTCACACCTGGCCTGCGAAATATCTTAATCGTACTGAATGATTCTCAAAGCCACATGAAACGATGTAAAAAATCACCACATGCTTTTTATTTAAATGGTTGGTAGTGGTGGCGAATATATATATTATTCAGTACATAGTTGTCGTTAATACATTTAAGACTTCAATTTTTCCAGCCTTATGCAGCTTTCTTTCATACTCCGACACCATGTCATACACTGACCACCTCTCCGCTTTTTCCAACCAGTCCCAGCGTCCGCAAATAATGCACGACGTGGAATTTTCTGGGAAGACATTCGTAGAACATGTCCAAGTCTCCGAAGTCGGTGTTTCAAGATGGTGACGCCAATTGGGTTATCGTCGCTGTGCCCGAACACACGATGCCGAACCTCTGCATTACTGACATGGTGTTGCCACTGAATGTCAGCAATCCTTCGGAGACAGCGATGATCGAACACAGAGAGTCGTCTAACATCCTCAACTAGGGGAGGCCAGGTTTCACAACCATAGAGCAGAACTGGTCTCAGCGACGCGTTGTAGATCCGACCGTTTACAGCCAGACTGACATCACGAAGGCGTCAAAGATGGCCCAGATTGGCACAAGCCGCTCTGGCTTTCACTATACGTGCATTGATCTCATCACTCACACCCCCACCAGCACTTATGCAGCTACCCAGAAACACGAACTTCTCGACTACTTCTATCTGCTCACCATCCAGGGTGAGTACAGGATTAGAATCCTGCCAGTCTTGTAGAAGTACTTTGCACTGCGAAGGTGCAAAGCACATACCATACCTATGGACACTGATTGTCAACTGATTAAGCGCGAATTGCATGTCTTGGGGACAATATCGTCCGCATACTCAAGGTCGAGAAGTTTTTTCCAGGCAACAGATCCACACCACCATTACTTATATCCATCAGAGCTCTTTCCAAAATGTCGTCGATGACAAAGTTGAAGAGGAATGGTGAGATCGGGCAACCCTGTCTAACCCCACTGCTCGAATGGAACAATGAAAAGAGGTGGTTGTATGCCGTCACTCTGAAGTGTTTGTATATAGGGCCTTTAAAATGTTAATAAACTTCTCAGGCACACCCTTCTTCAATAGACAATCCCAGAGAACAGTCCTGTCCAACGAATGGAAGGCAGCCCTGATGTCAAGAAACACTGCGATTGTTGGCCCTTGATAAGTAGTAGAGAGTGCACAATTCAGTTCTAATGGGTCTTTTTACTGTGGCTTTTTTACCTCCAGTGAGGCGCAAACAGATGCGTGCCCGTATTAGGGCGTGGTCGGATTCCAAGCAGGTACTCCAGAATGAGCGACAATCATCTACCTACCCTCTCCACCGATGACTGATGGCAATATGGTCTATTTGAGTCCATCGTTGGTTTGGTGTAGGGGGTCACCATGTTAGACGGTGTCTCTCCTTATGCTTGAAATTTGTGTCACCAGATACACGGAGGGTGTATCTCGTTGGCACTCTGTTTTGCTGAGGTGAGGTCAAGTGAATGATCACACTGGGATCCTGTATGCGTGTTTCAGAGACACAGCACACATCAATGGTACGAGATTCTAGGGTTTTAGCCAGGGAAGTCTGTTGACTGATTTGCGTACGTTGAAGGCTCCAATGTGTAGTTTGAAGCGAGGTTTCAGTAGACCTGGAACAGTGTTTTGCGTACTAGAATTGTTGGCCGTGGTGACACTCTATACAGACTGTTTGCTGATTGGTTAATACTTCTCAAAGTCACTAAGGTTCGTTCAAAGGTCGTCCATAAATTAGAGTCTCGCCTCCACACCTACTTCAGTCTTCAGTAGTAAAGATAGAAGGTAAACCCATTCATGTCAATCCCTACGACTTGTAGCACTGTGAAGATCCAATCCCGCTTTCTATTAACAAAACGTGCTGATATCACATGTTCTAGTAATTCACTACTTGATGTGAGAAACGCCACTCTAGACGTAAACGATTTGACCTCGGTTCTTGAACTTTCTTCACTGTCCTCTCAGACGATCAGCTCTGGATGGAAGGAAAAGATGAGACATATTAATACCAAGAGTATACAATGAACCAGTATTAAATGACACCATAACCTGTGGTAAGATAACGGAAATAGGTTCAGGCGTCTCAGTCTGTCTTCATAAGATAGGTCGGCCAGGCCTTTCACTATTCTGGCCCCTTGACGTTGAACTCGATCCAGCGTATCCGTCATCTCCAAAGGGTAAGACAGATGACTTTGGCACAGTTGGTAAGTCGTTTACATACCGTAAAAAAGAGCTGAGGATTATACGTTGGGTAACTCCACTTCTTAATGATTCCCATGTTGATGAAGCCCTATTTACCTGTACCTGTTGTCTCCCATCATTGAAAAAGTCGCTTATCCATTCCAGTCGGTTCGTAACAGATCACAAGACATTTTATTTTAGGACCTGTATGAGGGACCTTGTCAAAGACTTTACCTAGACCCGTGAATATTAAATCTGCCGGAATATATGCAATCGAATCTTGAAAAGCCTTTCCTAAAACTACGTTTTCCGACTAGATTATTCTCTTCCACATATTTAGAACAACCATCCAACTTATGTATTCCATTAGTTTGACTACACTGGCTAGACTAACGGGTCGATAATTACTAACTAAATCTATTCTGTGCTTTGTAAACCCGACAGGTAATTGTGTCTTTTGTTAGTGGAGAAGGTTTGTAGCTCAGGTGGATGATTTCGATGGAGTTTTGTTCTCTGAGTTGGATGGTTTGGTGGTGTCTTTTGATCTCATGTCAGTATAAACTGCCACAAAGACATACCAGATAGCATTGCCAAAGTTTCGGCAAGGGATGCGTACGTTGAAGGCTCCAGTGTGTAGTTTGGAGCGAGGTTTCAGTAGACCTGGGACAGTGTTTTGAGCACTAGAATCGTTGGCTATGATGACATCTGAGGAGGAAGCCGAAAGAGGAAGTTTAAAGGTGAAAGTCGATGTAGGAGGAATAATAAGAATTGAAGAGGGAGGTTGATTATGAATACAGTGGTGTTAGAGGTATGAGGGCAGTTATCACTTCCCGGTTACCCACACCGTGGAAGGGCTCTTCTGGAGGTGCCTGGAAAGGAAATTGGATTAGAGGTGGTCTTAGTGACCTGAGAGCGTGACCGCAGTGCCCAAGGAACAACTGCTTGAGGTCGGTCACACACGACCTTTTTATGGGTAGTTTTGTGTTAGCTCCTTACTTGTTGAGACATTACCGCCGGAGACGGATATCCGTGGGATAAGGCAAGGTTTGCACTTTTAGGGTCGACCTTTTCTAACCCCACCCCTCCTTGTAGGAAGGCAGAATCTCTGTCATGCTGATTGTCTGAAGGAAACACCTTACTACTGTCACACCTCTGTGCAGTCAGCAGTATGACTTCGGACCTTGGGTTTGCTGCTTTTAGCCTTACGCTCTTCGACCGACCTGTCTGACATAGTAGGACCTTGAGGAACGGTTGTCCCTGCCAGTATAGCTCGGTCGCTTCATCACGATAGGCAAGCCCGACCGCCACGTCAAGGTAGCAACAACGGTCGGGGTTGGTGTATGCACTCTCCGTCTTCTCTCTAACCGCGAGATTAAAATTACTCCACACTTTTCTACGAACTAATTATTTTTCCATATACTATATTCTTATACGCAATCTTTCTTTTATATATTACTACCGACGAAGTGACTACTTCCATAGATTTGGTGTTCATCGTTTTGTGCTAATGAGGTGTTACAACTTGGACCGATGCACGCATGTACCTGGTCCTGTGTTGACTGGCGAATAGCCCGTCCTCCCTAAAAGCTTATTTTCCTAGGGAATGCCTTTTTAGCCGCGATATTTGTATGTTTTTAGTTTTTCAGGTTTGATGGCTTGTTTGTTATAGTGGGCTTAAGATTTCCTCGTGTCTTGGATTTTGGTTTTGTTACCTCTTCAGGTTTTTTCAGTTTTTCTTGTAAATTTCGTTTCGGTTTCTGGCTTAATGAACTTGGAAGGTCCTTCAGTTTTCTTAATTATTAGGTCTTGAGACTAGACAATAATGCAGAATAACGCATATCTACGTGTACAGTCACTGTGTTTGTCGAGTTACATAACGGTTGTGTTGTAAATAACAGCACTACTTCAGATAATTGTGTTAACAACCAACCGGTCAGTCACCATATTTAATAGAGCCTTGTTTGTATTAGGACGAAAAGATAATACGAGAGATTGCGTGGTAATCTGTAGTTAATTACATGTTGTTATCTTACGGAGTAGTCCACAAGTCATTCACTAGTTACCGTGAAATCGAAATTCGGTTAGATTTCTTTGCGGATTTTCCAAGTAAGTGATGCATGATTGAAAGTTTGATTTATTTTGAATTCCTGTAGGTCCTAGTTACCATCTCGGAATTTTTTAAATGAAAAAAATGATGAGCATGTGTTTCATAGTAGATAAGAATGTAAGTTAATTTTACCCAAACGGGAGCAAATCACATAATCTTTAAATTTCGAATCGAGAAGGCCAGTGTTGAGTTACTATACTGTTGATGATATGTAAAAAACCCATCAAAGTTTCATGTTTGAAAAAAAAGGCGACCACTCCATAAAATAATTTTTAAAGGTAGATAATTCCTTGATAACAACAGTCAGTTTTCTTTTCATATTTTATTGCTTAGAGATTGTCTTATTGTATCATCGTTCTTGCTGCACAAAAACAATATCACGAATTGTTGGTGTTATAAAAAGAGTTGTAAAGCTTTATCCTGGGAAGCAATTATGATAAATAGAAGAGAAGAGGTAATAAACAATGCGTACAAAAGATGAGGAAAGTTATTCAAGGAGCTATGAGAATTGAATAAAATCATACTTTAGTTACATTAACATGGGTAGTTAGAAATATAGAGCATATATAGACACACAATGTTAATGGTGAAATTGAGCTAAAGGCAAAATAAGCTTTGTATATACTGAAATGTAAATAGACTGAAAAGTATCTTTCAAAAAATGCTCTAAATGGTTTTAAGAGTAATATGTGAATGACAAACAATTGTTTTACACCTGGACTTTTGATTTGTTTAAAGGATGTTTTCAATGTAGAAAAAATGCGTCATCTAAACGTAAAATATTCGCACTTTAGATTTGCTTACTAAAAGGTCACCATCATAGAAATGTGTCACAATAACAACATTACCACTAAAAAGAAAACGAAAGGAGATAACTAAATATCGGTTAACGCTAATAAGTCTTAAAACGTATTTACACTAAACTGAGTGTAAATCTTTCATAAGAGAGAGAATTTTACTATGCGGAGCAGATACAGATACTACAGATATTTACTGTCAGGAATTGTTTATCAGAGCACCAAGACTGAATTGTTTTTGAGATGGTGGGGATTTATAACTCAGAAAGAAGATTTTGGTAGTTATTTTCTCCGACTTCGATGGGAAATCTATTTCTATATTGTTCAGATGGACAATGCAAGCTTCATGATTAAACCACTTAGCTCAGAGAATGCATATCGACCAAAAACTAACTTATATATATATATATATATATATATATATGCTTTTTAACATAAACTGGTATGAAATAGCTCATTATTTAGTCAGGATTATCTCCATCTACTATATTTGAAAGTAACTTATTTAATCTTAGATTCAAACTTTCCAAAGGTTCATCAGTGTGACTGAACAGAAAATAGATTGTTTGATATTCAGTAGATGTTCACTAGTTAGGTTTTTGAATGTCTATTTTAAGTACCATTAATCATCAGTAGACATATTAAGATCAAAGTTTACTAGTTAAAAATTTACCTTAATACTTTAGCCGGAATCATTCGATCAGCTGAGTCGGACTGTATTAACGACTGCCATGTATTTGTAGAACCTGGTATTACGAAACCAAATTCAAAACTCCAGTCTGCCATTCCATTAGGAGTCAATAAATAAAGATTTTAATACAAAATCTTTTTAATTAGGTTAATGGTGCAAAACTCGGGATTATTAATACTTAATAAACAACATTGACATAAATTCCAGCTTGAGATGAACTCGAAAATTTTGTTAACCTCAAAAACATACAAGTTTCATGTATTTTGACTGATAAGTAATAATAAGTTTGATGATAATTAGCTTTAAAGCAATTTATCCATTCAGAAGACTGATAATCATGATTATTAAGATATTTATCAGTTTCAATTATTGTTCAAACAATTTGTCAGAAATGGAAACTTGATATTTATCCATTCAAACATACAGTTTATCTGTATCGTTAATTGCCTCTATCAGCAATCTTTTTAGCTAGACTGTATTATCATTTCGAAGTGTAAAATACTGTAGCAAAAAGATCAAACCAAGAAAATTGATTCTTTTATCATATTCTATTCTTCCCAATACAATTTATTACATTACATTAAGGATGTAGATAAAATTAACCTGCATATTACATAAAACTAAATGATAAGAATTGTTCTCGAACTCATCTTTAAAACAGTATTGTATTTTAAACATTAATAAGCAAGATACACACAAAATAGGTAGATTCTTGTAAGCCATTGCACTTAAGATATTCTAGCATCCTTTTTAATGTTTTTTAGATTCCAGCCAATAAACATATAGTTGGCCATGCGACTTAAATTAAAAGCTAGTAAGTCACTGAAATGTCTCAGATTTTTATCAAAATATTCTAAACATTTTTATCACTGTAGGCAGGGACTTGGTAAATGTAGTAAATTGATCACATTTATCAGTAATTTTACGAATAAATACGAATTTATTAGGATAAATACTTGTTGATAATTAGCACTCTTTACAGTGCCACATATATCAATTATTTTTCTTAACTAATCAAAGTTTCCATGGTTATTTGAATTTTAAAGATTAAGAGTAATTGAATAGTTTAAAAGGATTGATAAGGCTGTTCAATGAAAGTAAGTTTTAAATTAAATAGCCTTTTTTTTGTTACTTTATACATCAAATATACTTAAGGAACAAATAAATAATATTCACTAGCTATAAAATAATCTGGTTAGATTTAAAGAAAAATAAGTAGCCTGGTTATGATATAAATTAAGCAAATTTTCCATTTAATTACTGTAAAAAGATTTGTTATCATTAAGAGTATATTAATAGAGATAACATAATGATATAACTAAATTACACAGTCTAGTATTTTTCAGTCATGAGCAGTAACAACACAAAGCGTCATACAAAAATGCATTGACACAGTTTTCCGAACCACCCTGAGATAACCAAATGGAACTAACAAAATGAATTTCAGGAGTCAAAACAATTTAATAACAGTACTGAAGAGAAAGAATAAGCACTGCGAATATGGTTTGAAAAGACAATAAGAAAAAGTATGCATAAAGGAACACTGGAACTCGAGATCTAAAATAAAATCATGAGTACATCGATCCGCGTTAATTTTACCGATTCTAAACCATAACACTCAATGTCTCCGACTACTGATAGCGGTTATGGCGAGGACTCCACTCAAGTAGTATGTATTTACCGACATGGTCAAGATCAACAGTAAGTGATTCAATATAAAGAAAATACCGTTTGTCCTTATCTCAAAATCAAGAAAAAATAGTATGTGTTAATTTTAAAGTCTGTTGGGATCTAACTGTATAATAAAAACAAAATCCATGACTACACAAGTATACAATTATAATTAGCTGAGATAAAAACAGGTCAAATATAAGCATACTTACACTCGAACAAATACTTCTGTCCATAAAAAAATGAATACTAAGTTTTTAGACGCAGTGAGTGATAATTGAGCATTATCAACTTAAAATCTGACAAAAATTCACACCAATTCAATTTAACATACTTTAAGGCTGCACAGAAAAATAATTTTTACACAAACAAGAAAGACATACGTTAGAAAAAAATTGCTTTTCAAAATTTAGATGGTAAAGTCTGAATGTAGCTATGATATTTTTTATCAATAGTTAGGAATTTCGACCACAAATCAACAACCAGTGATATATTTAGTCTCGACGATTAATGTGCTTTGAATGTTTTTTTTTCTTTTTTACACTGATCATATGAAAAGGTAGGCAACTTCATTGGCTAAAGCACTGCTTGGTTTGGTCTCATTCAAATGGATACATTTAATTATGATTTTAGCTTATTCAGCAAAGAAATTTTATTGAAGTACTTTAGACTGTCGAATATTATGAAGCATGATAATCAAACCTTTTTAATATTAAACGATTTAACATCAAGTACACAATATTTAAATCTGAAAAGTACATTATTTATGTAATGGAAATATAAGTTCTGTTCATCAATACACAAAAATAACTAGATTCTACTTAAATTATAATTCTAATGGAAAATGATTTTGATTGTTTTTGTGTCCATGAATTTATATTAATATGAAATGAAAGATTTAATCATTAAATAGACAACAATAAACAACTTTATAAATAATTATTTAAAATTGAATATTCAATAAATATTTATTGTATAATTTAATTCATATGAAAATAAAGGTGTATACTAATGGTATGTATATTTATTAACGATCAGTTGTAAAAATAATATTCTCTTGTACTTTTTACATTATATAAATTATACATAATTGTATATTTAAACACAATATATTTAACAAATAAAGAAGATCTAATATCGAAATCATAGGCAGACACATAAAGATATTGAAATTATTCTAAATATTATTGTAAAATATTCTAAGTTATCAAATATAAAGGTTTTGTTAATATATGAGAAAATTCAATAGTTGAATATAATTTATATTGGTGATTGGTATTTTTATAAAGCAAAAAAAAACTACCAAAACTCCAGCTAAAGCATTTCAAGAAATAATAATTCTTTTTTCAGATTAGAACTCTTTGACAGGTTGAAATCATGAGTCAATTGAAGCTAGACCACTATGGAAAACCTGGAAGTTAGACATTAACACTGTTGGATGCCGGCTCAATGGTCTAGTGGTCCTGGGTTCGAGTCCCGCGGGATCGTGGATGAGCACTGTTGAGGAGTCCCATACTAGGACGAAACGGCCGTTCAGTGCTTCCTGGTTCCCCATGGTGGTCTAGCTTCAATTGACTCATGATTTCAACCTGTGAAGTTTCTAAAAATCTCCACAAAACCCATTCTGATAAAATTCTTTGGTTAATTTAATCTATTTTTGACTGAATCGTCTAATATTGTGAGGGATATATTTTCTAAGTTTTCTTTTCAAATTAGTTCATTGATGTATATGTGTAACTTCCTACGTTTAGTCAATTATTCAAGTAGATGAATATTTGCAATTATTTATAATTGTGCAAAATGAGCTATTATTCTTTTTAGCAAGTGAACTGTGAAAAATGAATTATCCTGTGATGGATAAAAGACATGTCTGAAGTGATAGTGACATTATTGGAACCGTTTTGGATAGAAATGGCACATAAATCAGCAAAGTTACTAAAGTCAATCTTGTAAAAACTAAAAGATGGAACTTTAGAAGAAAAGAAAAGCCAAACGTCGCATGAAAAAAACGCTGTTTCGGCTGTGGAAAACACTAAGTTAGAAAAAGTGGGAACCCTCTTCATAAAGGTAAAATAACCATCGAACGCTAGTGTCACATACTGGACTGGGAAAATGTTGTCGTTTTGGTTAGAAGAAATATGAAGCAGAACAGAGGATTTATAGAGGCTTGAAATTCGGGTCTGTCAGAGATCACTAAATACACTGAAATTGATCCACTTTATCAACCAAGAAGAAAAATCATCGGCAAATACAGGATCAAAAATCAAGTCAAATGGGGAGATAGTCACAGAATAAAGGTCAACAATAATCAATCAAGATCAGTGTTAACAGGACAAACTGGGAGTCGTATGTAGAGAAAGTTTAGGAATGCACTTATATCTGAAGTTTTTGCTGCTGATGGTGTTTAGCAGAATAATGGAAACTTCACGCTTAAATCATCAAGCTCAGAGAATGCGACTTCACCAAAGTCATGTATTATAGTCGTAAAATAAAACCGTTCTTTTCATTTGCGAACAAACATTAAAAATTACACAACAGTCATCATACATCTCTTTGTATCGATTTTTTCTTATTTTAAAAATGGTATTTTATGTTTTGAAGAGAAACGTTACTCTGTTAATGAAAGTAAATAACCCAACTGATAAGCCAGAACAAATAAAAAGCACTTTTATAAAATTCCATGATGTCATTTGATTTCTTAATTAGTTAATTCATTATTATTTCGATAGTTGAAATCATGAATCAGTTGAAGCTAGACCTCCATGGAAAACCTGGAAGCACTCGATGGCCGTTTCGTCCTATTGCGGGACTACTCAGCAGTGTGCATCCACGACCCCGCCTCGCGAGATTCGAATCCAGGACCTATCAGTCTCGCGCGCGAGTGCCTAACCTCTAGACCACTGAGCATCCAGTGATGTTATTGTCTGACTTCAACCAATCCACGAAATTGAGCGGCACATCCACCATTGTCTTCAACGAGTTACTATTTCATCATTATTTGTTTAATATTTATATTGGGTGAGAAGTGCTTCATTTAAACGATGCAGTTAACTTATCTGGAAACGTGAAAAATAATGGTCTTACAATGTCCTAAATCAACTGCAGTTGGAAAAATGGACCGTTTGAATTTCAAATTAGTATTTTAGGGGTAAAGAACTTAGAATGAAGCCTGATGATACTGTTTCAGTATATATAAGTTTTCAGGCATGAACTGTAAAGGAATCTCAAAACAGGTAGATGATGCCTTTTTAACAGCACTATATCATTAATTTACTTTCCAATTAAGTTATCTATTGTTATCGGCAGTAAACGCCCTATTTTGATTTTATGAACAAATGAAATTCTAACCCATATAGTTTTTATTTATTCATTGAAATTAATCGATATTATGTAGGGCGATTGCGTTTACTTGATGAATACCATGTATTTCAAACCCTATTTCTTTTTTTTAAATTTAATTCTCTATCTGTCTATATACTAACTGAGTTATAGTCGCATATTTGCTTAGTTGATTGTTTATAATTTTAGTTATTTGCGTGCCTGAATTTCCCTACACTAACAGATAGAAAAGGGAATATTTATCCTAAAAGATGTATAAACAGGCTTTCTATTGAAAGTACATTTTTTAAGCAGATATTAACTAATTGTGAGTTTTGCATGAAGGCAAAAAACATGTAGACTATATGGAATGAAGGTAATAGAGGGAATTCATATGATATTAGCAATAAAGAAAATATGGAGAGTTAAGAATGAGTTGAGGGCCATGTATAAGTAGCAACGATTATCTAGTAGCTACAGAGTGAGGAGATTGATTCGTTGTAATAGATAGTTGATCATTATTTATGGGCAATCTTGGTTCGTTACTGATCACTCTGAAATTCGGATTTATTGTAAATAGAACCAGAGACCAAAATATCTTTAAGCATTAGATGTCTGGAAAACGTCGATAAGAAACCATGGATATGCTTTGCGCTCGTTGGTATTTATTGGCGAGTGTATCTGAAGGCTTGGTGATCTGATTATATGCCAAGATTTTGGACCAAAGTTACTCACTGGATTAGTTGCAGGCTATTTCACACTGCAGATATTTTCCTATGATGAGCATCAAGCTTACAGTCGAGGCTTTCCGGCAACTATCTAATACCAAACCAAGTTTTAAGGTCTATGGAGATTGACTTAAAGATATTTTACATCATAGACTGAATTAAGCTAGGGGTGATGCCTGAAGGTCGTGAGGTGACCAATTAGTATGAAACCAATCTGTGTGCACAAACCGATTTTTGTAAGTAATCCAATTTCCTTTACGAGTGCTCTCTTGAGTAAATGACGTTTGTCTGATTTGATTAGCATTAAAAGTCCAAATGTTTGAGGGGGGGAGTATAAGGACGTTTCAAGATGTGAAAATATTCAATGTATCGGTTTGCATACTCCAAAGTGATGTCTGACCAACAAATAAACGAATTATACGGTCTAATTGTTGGATACAAAGACTGTTTCTTATGTTGGGGCTGACGAAAACCAATATTGATCTCGTAGTGGTAAATAAATCTACAAAATAAATAGTTCTATAAGTCTTCGACAACTGATGTCGACCTCATTAGTCTTAATGGACAAACCTAGTTGATGGTGTTCGGCTACGAATTTGCACCAGATCATGGGTAGATACACTGTGCTACGCATCTATTACAACCGTTAGCCAACTTAGGCTAAAAGCTTCCAGAGATGTCGCTAGCTTTTCAGATATAAATTCGAACATCTTCAATTTCGACTTGACTGGGCTAAAATACTTTTATTATAAAGGTGTTACGTGTAAAGTCATTTTCGAAACCCGAATACATATGGCATCTTTAATCTGCTGAGATCCCACAAGAACGGTTATGGTTAGCTTTTGGACCCCAATATTATTATGACTTCACATAACTGAAACCTATTCCTATTGACTATTTTATTTTGGTAAATACGAGATGTACCATCATGTTTGATGATATCATGGTCTTTCTTCAAAACATCTAAGCTCTTGCGAAATTCCATCCTTTTCCCGTTACTTCAGCTCTTTTTTGATTATTAAAGGGTCATTTTATGTTATTTGCTTGATCTGTCAAATCAGAAAGGTCTGTTTTGTATTCGGATCATGTTCTATCGTCATTATTTTGAAGCCAAGTGATCACAAATTACGGCGGCAACAACATGTGGTAGCTGTAAAGTTTTCTGAAGATCAACGTTTACGTTTTTTTACATGATAGCTTCTTTTCTGCTAAGACACTTTCAGATGATAATTTTGTTCTACTTTAACCATTAGGTGATTACAAAACAGAACTAGCTATCATTTAGTTTTGTTTTATCATAATTAATGTAAGACACAGGCAAAAGACTTTGCATCTTCAACCACTACTAAAATCACGGCCCTTACGAAGTTAATGATTTAAGGATATTCAGTATATAGGTATTGAATAAGAGAATATATGTCTTAACATTTACAAAAAATGTCACTATTACTGCCGACAAGTACTCAGAAAACTACTCATCTTAGATGCTGCATGTCTGCCACAGTGACAAAGCATTTAAATGAAACAGTAATTGAAACTATGTAATTTCAGCTTGACTCAGTCTGAAATACTGCTTAAGTACTTAAAGAAACGTATAACCAAGTCAAAGATTGAGTAAAACTTGCCATTTTTCAGAAAAACTATACGATGTTACTAAAACAGGTCTTTTTGAGAGAATTGTGACATTCATCGACAAAATATACACTTCAAAGTTTATACTAATGAAGGACTTTTTTAGAAGTAACAGGTAAGATATGAGAAATGAAGTGAATTTATTTTATTTTAAGACTTTGTTTTAGCTGATTGATATTAAAATGTAAGCTTATGTAAATTAATTCTAAAAATTGGTGTTTTATATGGAAAGCTATAGAACCGTTATATCCAAAGGCGTGCATTGCCATTATATTCAGTTGAATGGATGATTCAAAAATAACAAGTGACGAAAATATCACCATTAGCACGTCTGATTCAGAGAATGTGCACTAGTAAACATATGTCATGGTAACGGTGACAAGCGCACCACCGGTTGAACAAAAAACCCAGCAATAGTTTTAAGCTGTGTTTTAAAAAATGATGTCACACTACAATATGGCTGTTGTTAAAGTGTTCAGTCTATATGGTCACGTTAGAAAACCTTCAAGTACTTGGACAGGAAAATCCTTAGGTATTTATATTCAAATATAAACAATTTATCAATAGAAGCGCTGTCTTATAAGCAAATTTATATATACGCTAAAACGTTTTTGACTTTGTATACAGTGTTCGTGCGTCCTAAACTTGAGTTCTGCATACAAGCGGATAGCCCATGCTTAAAAAAAAGACAGTGGGCTTCTGAAAAAGGTTCAGAGAACGGCAACTAAGCTGATTCCCGGAATAGCGAAGCTTCCGTATGACGCTCGACTGACCAAGCTGAACCTTTTCCCGTTGTCATATCGCAGAACTAGAGGCGACTTGTTTATTTTTAAAATTGCTTAGTGAAAAAATTTGCACCTGATGTGCCCCCTTTTTTCTTGTCTCCCAAAACAGGGAATTTACGAGGACACTCCAAATTATTCACAGACTCGGGATAAATTAATTGTCAGTTGACTATCGACTTTCCCATCGCATCATCAGCGGGTGGAACTCATTAATTCAGCACGTGGTTGAGGCTTCAACCGTCGACTCTTTCAAAAGAAAGTTGGATCAACTGAGAGACCACCATTGCCAGGACTAACACAGGCCATCGGGTTTCCTGTCCTTCCCAAACTGAAAATGAAAACTGAAACTGTAAAAATCAACTAGCAGATAATTCTCATTGCGGAAGGGTGGCAAAACCCGAACGTTTGTCAGTTTAGTCGAATCATTCAAACCTACTACTTTATTAAAAGATGTATTCATTTGAACTAAGAATTATTCATAACTTGAACAATACATATTTTAGTATTTTATGGAAAGAATATCAAATCAGCTATGAAAAGTTTAGTACATCGTTTGAAAAATAGTGAGCCCCATACAGTTATAAAACACTCACTTTCAATTGATTGGTCTCTAAGAAATACCTCTTGTTCAAGCCAGAAATTTTCCAACTGCTCTTTTGAGGAAAAATTGATTTCGCGAGAAACTGATTTGCATTTAAGAATTTTCCTTGGAACGTGCGCTTTTTAAAATATCTGATTTAATGCCACATTTACCTTCGTGTTCTACGTCAGGAACTGAACTATTTTATTGTAAAAACAAATAAAATTTATAATAATTCCAAACTCACAAATCATCGGTGCTTTGCCACAGAATTTTTCCAGAATCTGCATCGCGCAAGTTCATCCAATTTCTAGAATGGTGATTTCGATTAAAAAATACGTACAGTTTGAAACCTTTCAAGATAGATTCACACTTTTCATGACCCATTTTGTACATTGCGAAATCACGAAAGCGAAAGTGTTAACGAGCATCAGCTTATTTTAACAAATGTTTCTAAAGGTATTGATACAGAGCTAATAAAAGTTGACTTTATGTGAAGACTGATCAAGACATGCCTACAAGATAAATGTACTCGTAAAAGGGCAAAAAATCCAGTATATGGCTCAAATGGTTCAAGTTATTGTGGACGGAATAGTAGAAACTTTCGCTTAACAGGATTCCGTGTCCAGTAGCAGGGGATCACGAATAAATCCAGGCAGAAACCTAGGTATGTTAACAATAAAACAGGAAAAGAAATTAGTAAATCATAGTGCGATGCTATCCTTAGACCTTAAGAATAGATCAAGTTGCTTCTTAAAGGACTACTGGGAGGTCGCCTGGACTAGCTCGGCCGGCAGCGAATACCAGCATTTGACAACTCTTAAGGAGTAGAAGTTGTGTCTACAGTCCATTCTGCTATGTTGTGTCTCCAGTTTTTGGGTGTTACCTCTTAGTTTAGTGTTGAAACTAAGCTTAAGTAGGTGATTGAGAGGATGTCCAGAGGTGTTAAGGGCACTATAAGCCATCAGAAGGTCATCTCTAAGACCTCTATATTCTAATGGGTAAAGGTTAAGTGAATGGAGGCGCTCTTCATAAGGTTTAAATTTGAGTCCTCGGACTGATTTCGTGGCTCGCCGTTGTATGCACTCCAGGGTGTCCTTATCCTTTTGAAGTGAGGGTGGAAATACTGTTTCCGTACTCTAAATGGGGACGGATAAAACTATTGAAGATTATATGGAAAGTTCTTCCGTCAAGCTGGCCAAAAATGCGGTTCGATGTTACCAGTGCAAGGTTTGCTCGGAAGGCATTTTTGTCACAGTTATAACTGTAGTCTGCGACATGTCGCCGATGGAGTACTTATCTCTGAAGTGTTAAAGGTAAGTATAATCCGAATTACGTTTTATACCTGATGTAAGTTTAACATATCCCAGACGTTTATTCTCAAGGTTTGTGTTTGTTTTGTCTCCATTGTAATGTGAAGGAGAATCCAGTGTTATTGAGCGTACCTCTGGTGGTTATCAATGTTCGAATATATCGATGTCTAGTGAAAGGTCAGTAATATAATTCTTGCAACTGCTTTGCCCCTAACCGATTTACAGTGATGTCTGAGGTTGTGCTCACAAACAATTTAATTTTATCACTTGAATAAGTGTCAGAACAATTGTTCATAGTGAGATTCAAATGAACATTTTCGTAAGAAAGGATACCGTATACGTTCATATTACTTTCAGCTGGGTCTGAATTTCAAGAGATTTAGGAGAGTTTGTCAGTGGTGGCGTATTTGTGAAATCAGAGGCCCTCTCATAATCAAACTTGACTTTATGAAGTCAAGGATAAGGATGATGTAAGGACCTTGACGCTAGCGGGTTGTAAGTAGCTTTTCGTTCTTTTCGCTTACACGGCGTTCAATCTGGAAGAATGTTAACATACTTGGAGGTCTGGTTTTGTCTGATCATATTCGATAAATTCAGAAACTCACTTTGAAATAGAACGATATTGCTGAATGCATATCAAGGTTTCCTCGTTTTATTATTTGCATAAAAAAGGTGAACTTGCCTCTTGCATCATGTGATTACTGATCATTTGATTCAAAGTTTGGCGAAACCAAATATTGCAAAGACTTCGTTTATTCTTCTTAAAATTTTACACCACTTAGAATTGCAGCAATATTGGTTATCAGGACGATTGATATATGAAGTCTAAGAGCAGCCTAAAATATATATTTCACTACAAGTTGATTGTTTTACATCAGTTTAATTCACACTGAATAAATATACTTTCCGCTTCAAAATGCATCACTCTCATCGAAAACAGAAAGTGAGTATGAACTATTCTAAATTATCGAATATAGTGTTATAGTAAGCCCATTGAACTAATTTATTATTTGTCTACTCGCTGTAATTTAGACACTTAAACCCCTATGAAAAATGATGGGTCTTATTGAACACGCGTCTACATATCAATCTTTGTTCTCTCATTAGTTGTAAGCATAGACAATCAATAATTTATCCACAACCAATTAATACTTGTAGATATATGCGGATTTTTAACACACACACTTACTTTTTTTCCTGTGTGCTTGCTTTCGACACACTTGCAGATTTTTACCAATCATTAACAACAAATTACCTCTACAACCGGTGTTCGCTCTTTTGAATAATCCTGAGTAAATTTATAATACTACCAGGCTATATAGCCTGTGTAAATGCTCAGTTAGTGGTACATCTATAAAATGGAAACACAGCAAAGCAGAATGGACTGTAGACACAACTTCTACTCCTTAAGAGTTGTCAAATGCTGGTATTCGCTGCCGGCCGAGCTAGTCCAGGCGACCTCCCAGTAGTCCTTTAAGAAGCAACTTGATCTATTCTTAAGGTCTAAGGATAGCATCGCACTATGATTTACTAATTTCTTTTCCTGTTTTATTGTTAACATACCTAGGTTTCTGCCTGGATTTATTCGTGATCCCCTGCTACTGGACACGGAATCCTGTTAAGCGAAAGTTTCTTCTATTCCGTCCACAACCATTTGAATCATTTATTTATTCGACTCAGCTATAAAGGAATTTACGGTGACATGTATGTTCAGTGATTTTTTTAACGACAAAATAAAAACCACATTTTTCTTCAGTTTGTCACACTTTATAATTAACCACATTTATACTCAATATTTATTGTTTTTCTGTATCAATTGTTGAAAAACGAATATAATCGTTTGGATATACATATACGGGTATCCTGCCGCGTTGGTTGAAATATAGACACCGTCTACTATGCTTTATTAGCTGCAGCCATTGATTGAAGATTATAATAATATTACAGTGTCCTTTTTGGCCTTTCCACACTACTTTGGCCCGGATAATTATTAAATAATACTGTTGGATTCGATCTTCCTCATTACGCCGTTTGTGTCACCACGTGCTGTGGAATCTTCGTTAATGAAGTGAACTCATTTGTGGTTGTTATCTCAGAGAGCAGCTTAAAAGTAACATTCATTTCATAACAACTGTTGTCATCTTGTTTAATATTATATTTATATTGTGACTAATTTGTTATCTTTTGCTTGGCATATTATTGATAACCTTGCGTATTGTTATATTTTAAATAAGCTTTTTTTGCTGGAACCCACCACAAATTAACATCTACAGTGTCTATTTACGGTCCTATACCTGTTTTCAATCTGAACAATGTTTAAATTCTGTGATTATATTATAATTCCTGAAATTAGACGTTAAAATAAATTGAGCAGCTAGAGAATGATCATTAGTGTGTTTTATTGGGATGAGAAATTCATACACTAAACAACTCGTTTTCTCCAAAGAAACTATACTTTTCGACCGTGGGCTCGAACCAATGGCTTAATAATCGGATGGGGATTTAGCAAATAAGTAACCAATAGTCATATTTTTGAATCATTATCTAGAAAAACATAATGATGAAAATATTGGAAACATAAGAAACAAAGCTTTCAAACGAAAAGATAAAATTAATTTTCAGCTTGAGATTGTGGAGATATTTGTATTCCACTGAAATCATGAACTGATCAATGCTAGAACACCACTGAAAACCTGGAAGTACTAGACGGCCGTTTCTTCCTAGTGTATGACTCATCGGTATTAGGCACCCACGACCCTTCACATAGAATTCGAACTCAGTACCTTAGGCCTCGTGTGCGAACGCTTTTCTTCAAGACCACTGGGCCGGCATTCAATGGTGTTCGTGATTTCATTGAAATATTTTGTTATAACTTGTGACCTTGTGTCCTAATATACAACGTAACGATACCGTCGATTAGAGAACAGTGAGTTATCCACCAGACCAATGTCTCATAAACCCGTACGAGGAGTCTAGAGTATATGCCGGCTCACGTGAAATTGAGTTTGTTCGCATTTAATTTGGTTAAGCCCTTTTTATTAACTTATTTAACGGACAGAGTCATTAGTACAATAACAACTTATCTATATCATTGTATCTTTATTAATTATTACACTTGTATGAATATGTATATCTGAGAATTGCTAACTGCTTACGCATATATTCATTCTGCTAGCCTTACTATTAGTCGCTTGATTAATTTGATGATTCATTCATTTCACTAGGTATATATATGTACATTTTATTCATGTTCATCGTACTTGTACTCGTGTTCGCTGACTCGCTCACTTGCCTGCTAGTTTTTCGGCACTACTCTTTCATGCTTGCTTAACGCACCTGTAATATTGGATATCACTGTGTGGTCCCATAATAAACATAATCAGCACTTCGTATTCGCCTTCTGATTAATACGCCGTTGGGACTTTATCTAGTGACGGTTATCAAGACGAATTGTATACGAAGCTGAAGGATTATATGGAACACCGACCACCACAAGTACTAATCGGTCCTTCTTCATGCCTAGCCCTGCCTATTGAGTCCAGAACATCAATTTCAGCTTCCGCTATATGAATAATGTATTTCAAACATACTGGGTTTATATACGAACCAAACAGACCACATAACACCATAAAATAGAAAATAACATTTGCACACGATCTAGCCAAAAGTGGCTATGAATGTGGTTGACTTTAATTGATAGACTGGGCATAACTTTAGAACGGTAAATTATATAATAATAGTCTATGGATCGAAATAAAGCTTATAATAAAAGGAACATGAGCATGCATAGTTTAGTTACTTAACATTATACAACAAAACGTATGTGTAATATTACTCTATAAATAGATCCCAACAGTTACCATCCATTATACTTGTCAAGGATATATCATATTTATTTATTTTCTTTTGCTAACAAACGTTTTGTTTCGTTATTTGTAACATTTAAACAAATTTACCATACTCCAATTAACGCAACCGGTAAATTTCACTCTTAATTATAAAACATGGAAGTTCATAACCACCAATTAATTGAAATTTTAGGTGGATTATCAGAATCACATTATTAGAAGATATAGTATTTAGTATGGAAATTGAAAGATTTAATGACAGTAAATGTATTGGACAGGTAATCAGCTGAAGTTGTGGAAATAAGACACGCTCATCCGAGTTACATTTCTAACGATCTTCAAACCGGACATTTCATTTTTTTCGTAAGTACTTAAACAATTCGATAATAATCCTCAACTGATTTCACCACAAATAAACGACTGTTAAATTGCTGCAAATGGATTTTAGGTCAAAATGTTGAGCTATATAGTGGGTACTAGTCGTCTTGTGATATGAAGTAATATGGTTGATTATGTATTATAATCAGACAGAGCGAACAAAAGTTACCTGGTAGGACATTGTTCTATGTTTGTTGAGGAATTTATCTATTACACAAAGTCTTTTTGTTTTCTTGCTTGTTGCACTTTCATTATTTTTTTTGTTGAATTATAATTTTAAAAGCTATTCAAAAATGGCGGTAGTACCTTTGCCACAATGAGGAAATCTTACAGTTTCGATTATGTTCTAACGTTTAAAAGCTTGTTTTGTACTTAACTAACGTGAATTTTAATTACGGTATCGTAAAAGTATTAGTCTTTGAATAGCGTCAGTTTTATATCAGTTTCTCGGACTGTACTTATACTGCGAGTACCAAAAGTTTATCAAGTGGTTTGCATTTAGTAGATCAGCCAGTCCATTTGTGCAGTAGTCTTCTCGTATTGTTTTTTTCAGCATGAGATAAACACAATTTTCTGGTGTTCAGTGTTTATCGTTTTTAAAATACTATTTTTATATAAATCTGGTCTTTTTCGGTTCTTAAAGTAATTTCTTTGTGTTGAACCCTCTATATCCATTTAACAATTTACATTGCCGAGGCAAGACATTATTGTAGTAGACCCACATGCTTCTTTCTGTTCGATAATAGAATGCATTTTGACACTTTGAATACTCTGGGTTTACTATAAAGTACCATCTCTTTTTTATTGTTCTTACTGTATCTAGCTAGGCATAAGCCAATGAAAAACATTTTGACTGCCTGGGTGAATTTTGACTAAAATTGGTCCTTCTCACCAACGTCAATTATTCAGCCGTTGTTTATGATTCGACCCAACAACTTACATAAGAAATGTATCATAGAATAAAGTTTTATCGATAATAGATCCCTTTTCTGGAGTACTTGGACACAAACTCATCGTAGTTACCTCTAAAACAGGGCCGAACGTTAAAAATCAAAGCTTATGATGACAAGAATAGCTATAACGAGACAACTTGGTAGTCATGAAATGGTAAAGTGTCAAAGATTCTTTATTTTTAATCCACTCAAACTACCGGTGGTAATCTTACGAGTAGAAGTGTTGTGAACTCGTCATTGATAATAGTTTTCAGGAAGAAATATGTTCTGATACCAAAATGCATTAGAAGTTAGGTTGTTAAGCACATTATCAAGGATATCAGGATTACAAGAAAACGTATAACATAATTAAGCACCCAACAGTAAATAATAACCTTGTTCACAAGTTACAACTAAGGAGCAGAGTGGTTAAAAAGCTTCATAATGTTAAAATTAACTTATTACTTCTCAATGAGTGAACATAGCTTTTAATAAAAAATCATTGAGATCAACACGAGTCTAGATATGTTGAACGATAAACGAATCTAGGGATCGGATTCACGTTACACTGAGTCGATCTGATTCATAAACCTTACATTGTGCATCACATAAAAATACTCCAACCAAAAGTTATCTTGTGACAAGTAGTTTCATTTCTATAACGAACATATTCAAGGTGTCCGTAACCTAACTTCGAAATACTTTGGAACGTGTCATTAGTGTAACTTCTCCTTGGTATAATCCCACAATGAATTAAATAAATATCAAATATATAATGATGAAGTCCTAACATTTTATGATACCACTGCTTTTTTCTTTTTGACCTCGCGAAATCCAGCAGAATAATCCTAAACAGTCTTCATATAATCTTCTAAACGAACAGACGTCCGCAGAATGTTTTTCAGTAAACTTCCAAGGGGACATGCTAGGAAGGGACTACTGAGAGTGTGATAAAAAAATCATTCCATGAGTACGTTAATAAAAGCAGATATGGACAGACCAATGATGTAGGTACTGAAATATCAGGTTGAGAAATAACTTGAAAGTGAAAATAACTGGAATCAACTATTTTAATTCTACATACAGCTTTTAAAGTAATCAGGATCTTTACTGTCAAAGATTTTTTACAACTCTCTTATTAAAAGTACATAATCGTAAAACCAGTAAACTGCATTCAGATTATCTGGTGTTAAATTTAGTTGTACAATGTTGTTGAATCTAATTAATTACCATAGAGATGATATTCAGTATATTTCAGCTTAGACTTGCACTGTACGTTGTGGTATTCAACTCATGTATTTATGTGAAAAATAATAACTAAAAAATATGCTGATAATATAGTGGAGTAACTTCAAAAAAATCCCTTAAAATCCGTGCATTAGTCGTCTTGGTAGTCGTTGCTAAATAAATCCCAACTGTGTATGAATTTCGAAGCTAACACGAAGCGCCGACGTCAGTTTATTTAATAAAACAGATCACCAAGCCACAAGCTCACCAGGAGGATTCCATCAGAAGAGCTAATGCGCGCGAGCAAATACAGAGGCGAGTCCAGATGATATATACGGAAAAGAGTTGTGAAGCGGAGATTGTTGTTGGAAAAGTGGAAAACGAAAATAGGCGAGTGAGCCGACTCAATATTTATGGTCAGACAAAAATAAGCTATCGACAGTTATTCAATGAGGTAAGCAATACACACATACCCTTACATAAAAATAGTCAGGGTTAATAAGCGAATAACTGACAAGGTCAAAATTTAACTCAAGGAGAATGAATAAACTGGTCTGTTTTGAAGCTAGAATAACCCATGTGGACTTGACGTAATACCAGACACCGCATGGATATGCCTCAGTAATACATCACTCAACTTAGATCTTACTATAAATAATGAGGTGTTATCTAAGTTACATACAGTAGCAGACTTTGGTACTCCTACAATTTGTCATTTAAAGAATAGGTGTTGAAACAGACCTCCAGGTCTTAACGTCTTATGGGTTGCATAACTCGAAACTTTTATAACAGCGAGTCACGTATTTTGATGTACAAAGTTTGTGTTCGACCACACCTAGAATACTGCACGTTCATTCCTGGTAGTGTGCGCATAAAGGGTAAATTAAGGTTGGGATCAGTATACGTGCAACAGGAATGATGTTAGTATATACCATATAAATACCATGCTTGAAAGTGTACAGACAAATATGATGGAAATATGAGTAAATAACAAACTAAGAGCATCAGATAACTTAAACAAAATGTTTTTTTATTTAAGATATAATGGAATTTTGGTTCTGTACACATAAACCAATGGCTCGAACGTTATGCAACTATAACTGGTCCAGAGCGTTAAGTAACTGTTTACCCCTGGCGTGCTTACCAACATCTAGATCATCGTTCTGTTCTCGAATATAATAAACAAAAAAGAAATTGGACCGTTAAATATGTCATATATGTTTGTACGGCAAATCACTACTTTTAGATGGCTATTTTGAAAAATAAGATCATGAAAACAAACGAGAGAGAGTAGTGTCGAATAATATTTTTATATTTCTGAATTAAACGAGATAAATCCATGTATTCCTGCGCAAAAATTTAAACCATAGAATATAACGAGAACTGATACAAAATATAATTCATGTTTAATAGTAATTAACTGCCACATTACTATCCATGCACAATATACCACACAAATTCCAAGCAAAATATAGGAGGCAGCTAACAAGATAGAGCTTTGAGATCGGTTAGCCATAGAACAAATGTAAAGTCGGACGATATCAAATATGAACATTGACGAAAGAACCAATATTTCGTAAAACATTTCCAAACTTTCATATGGTAGAGTGGAAAACTTATACACAAATACAGCTATCTGACTTAAAATGAACAAAACTAGTATGAATTTGGATAGTTCGATAGACAACTGAAATAAAGCGGACGATTTACTACCTAATTTATTAGACATTATATTCCAGTTTAAGTTTGGAAAGGACAGAAGGCTGGGTGGCCTGTGTTAGTCCTGGTGGTGATGGTCTCTTAGTTTATCCAAATTTCTTTTGAAAGTGTCGACTGATGAAGCTTCAATCACGTGTTGAGGTAGTCGGTTCCACTTATTGATGGTTCAATCGGGAAGTCGATAGTCGACTGACAAGTAATTTGTTCTGGGCTTTTGAACTTTCTGTGCACTCGCAAGTAGTCTGTTTTGGAAGGCAAGAAAAATAAGAGCATATCAGATGCAAATTTATCGCTGAGTAGTTAAAAAACTGACCAAGTCACCTCCAGTTCTATATGACAAGGAAAAGATTTAGTTCAGCAAGTTGATCATCATACGGGAGCATGGGTATTCCGGGGAGCAGTTTAGTTGCGGTTCTTTAAACCTCCAATAACTTGCTGTCGCTTTCTAGGTAGGGGCTTTCTACTTGTATGCGATTCAAAAGTATAGGACGAACAAATACTGTACACAAGTCAAAGTTTTTGGCATAGACATGGCCAAAGACTTTGCGTTTTGACCATATGGTTTCAAAACCTTGGGCGGCGATCGTAAGTCACTCTGCAGTAATTCTTGAGTCTCGGCTAACTGTGATCACCGGGTCATTGTGTCTGGACAACAGTTATCTCAATGTTATTCACCATTTATAAATATGTACCTTGGTGACCAATATTCGTAGTAATGCACCTGGAAGCAACGGTCAAATTCTAGACCGTTCAGATAATTCCTCTAGGTCATTTCAAAGTTCTCAGCAATCACTTTTTATCGCTCCTCTTATCTTGACACTGTCAGCATATAACAAGACCGATGACGGTGGGAGACTAGGAAGGTCATTTAACTACATGAAGAACAACGTACCCAGAAATTGTAATCTAATAACTCCTCTAAGCACAGTTTATAAGTTAGACAACTTTGAGTTGGCTATTACTCTTAGTTTACGTCCAACTAGGAAACCCTTTTTCCAAATCAATGGACTTTCTAATCCTGATGTAATTAAACTTATATAACAGCAGATTGTGAAGATTTTTGTCAAAAGCCTAACTGAAGTCAATGTAAGACACATGTATAGGTAAATTCTGATCCTAGAGAGCGCACTTTTGCGAGATATAAATAATCTGTCCTAAAACCATGCTGGCTTTCATGAAGACTAAGATTTTTGTCTAGATACTTAGACAACCCCTTCCGAATAGGTATTTTTTTATCATTTACCGACAGCGCTGGTTAGGCTTATAAGTCGATAATTGTCAGCTTGGGTCACACATCCGTTTAGAAAACAGGACATGGTATGGCGTTCCTTCAGTACTGGAAGACGACTTTTGGTAACCTACGTTGGGTTGCAGATATATTAAAACATATACTTAAGGGATTCGCAGTAATTTTTGCTGTGACATCCAGTATTTGATGCGGTTGATTAAAGAGGAATAGTATGTCACATCAACTCGGCGCCCAAATACTGTGAAACGTTTCTATCAAATTTAGACAAGAGTTCTTATATTTGATATGATTGTATCTGGTGAAGTATTTTTTGATGGAGTAGCTTACAAGGAGGTGTATGAGGATCTGGAAATGCGACTAAGCGCAAAAATGAGGCTATGACACAAAAGTCGTTTTTACTGCAGCAAAAACATGGGATCCAACTATAATTAGTTGGGAAAGTTGATACAGTAAGGTTTTGATTCCATAATATGATTAAGATTTGAAACAGGTTGTACCGCAATATTTCAAACCAGTGAGTGGTGTTAACATGACAACGCGACGTGTTTTAGAATATGAAAAGTATCTGACTTTCGCAACTCTATCTTTCATTCAGAGCATTTGACATTTGTCGGACGTACTTGCAACGCTAGATACCTATTGTTGGCAGTTGAGTTGCACTGTGCTGTAGCGTTTAGACTCACATTTGATTCATGTGGACATAAGTTCCATATTACAAAACCAAATGATATGTATATATATATATATATATATATATATATATGTATATATATAATAAAAGTGTTTGCTTTAGGGTTTTTTGACACAATAATACACAAGTATTGAGATGAAACAAAATGTCATATAGTGTTCTACGAACAGAGGACGTTTAGGTGTTCTGGAAACATTTTCCGAAACGCGTTATTTTAGTCTGGTTGTCAGATAACACCCAAATTCATTCATGATTGTTGAGTATCGGGTGAGGTATTGCAATTTTGAGTCCTGTACCGAAGGAAAATCAACATTTTTGGGATCTCTTTCTAAATACGTTGCTTTAAGGCGATCGATTCTGATGTTATTGTTAGTTTCATTCTTATCAGTTTTATAGTACATAGGTTTACGCTGAAGAACTTTGATGGGTTCATCAAGTGCCACCAAAGTGAGTCGCAACGTTCAATGACGTGTGTATTATATTGTGGGGCAGGTTGAGTGAAACATCAGTTGATTGCGCTCGAGTGTAGAAAGGTTTAACTGAACACGTTGAGTTTGTAAGCTTGCTTGCGTAAGATTTTAGATCCATATTCAGTTTCAATTCAGAAAGGACAGGAGGCTTGATGGCCTGTGTTAATCCTGGTGGTGATGGTCTCTTAGTTTATCCAAATTTCTTTTGAAAGTGTCGACTGATGAAGCTTCAATCACGTGTTGAGGTAGTCGGTTCCACTTATTGATGGTTCAATCGGGAAGTCGATAGTCGACTGACAAGTAATTTGTTCTGGGCTTTTGAACTTTCTGTGCACTCGCAAGTAGTCTGTTTTGGAAGGCAAGAAAAATAAGAGCATATCAGATGCAAATTTATCGCTGAGTAGTTAAAAAACTGACCAAGTCACCTCCAGTTCTATATGACAAGGAAAAGATTTAGTTCAGCAAGTTGATCATCATACGGGAGCATGGGTATTCCGGGGAGCAGTTTAGTTGCGGTTCTTTAAACCTCCAATAACTTGCTGTCGCTTTCTAGGTAGGGGCTTTCTACTTGTATGCGATTCAAAAGTATAGGACGAACAAATACTGTACACAAGTCAAAGTTTTTGGCATAGACATGGCCAAAGACTTTGCGTTTTGACCATATGGTTTCAAAACCTTGGGCGGCGATCGTAAGTCACTCTGCAGTAATTCTTGAGTCTCGGCTAACTGTGATCACCGGGTCATTGTGTCTGGACAACAGTTATCTCAATGTTATTCACCATTTATAAATATGTACCTTGGTGACCAATATTCGTAGTAATGCACCTGGAAGCAACGGTCAAATTCTAGACCGTTCAGATAATTCCTCTAGGTCATTTCAAAGTTCTCAGCAATCACTTTTTATCGCTCCTCTTATCTTGACACTGTCAGCATATAACAAGACCGATGACGGTGGGAGACTAGGAAGGTCATTTAACTACATGAAGAACAACGTACCCAGAAATTGTAATCTAATAACTCCTCTAAGCACAGTTTATAAGTTAGACAACTTTGAGTTGGCTATTACTCTTAGTTTACGTCCAACTAGGAAACCCTTTTTCCAAATCAATGGACTTTCTAATCCTGATGTAATTAAACTTATATAACAGCAGATTGTGAAGATTTTTGTCAAAAGCCTAACTGAAGTCAATGTAAGACACATGTATAGGTAAATTCTGATCCTAGAGAGCGCACTTTTGCGAGATATAAATAATCTGTCCTAAAACCATGCTGGCTTTCATGAAGACTAAGATTTTTGTCTAGATACTTAGACAACCCCTTCCGAATAGGTATTTTTTTATCATTTACCGACAGCGCTGGTTAGGCTTATAAGTCGATAATTGTCAGCTTGGGTCACACATCCGTTTAGAAAACAGGACATGGTATGGCGTTCCTTCAGTACTGGAAGACGACTTTTGGTAACCTACGTTGGGTTGCAGATATATTAAAACATATACTTAAGGGATTCGCAGTAATTTTTGCTGTGACATCCAGTATTTGATGCGGTTGATTAAAGAGGAATAGTATGTCACATCAACTCGGCGCCCAAATACTGTGAAACGTTTCTATCAAATTTAGACAAGAGTTCTTATATTTGATATGATTGTATCTGGTGAAGTATTTTTTGATGGAGTAGCTTACAAGGAGGTGTATGAGGATCTGGAAATGCGACTAAGCGCAAAAATGAGGCTATGACACAAAAGTCGTTTTTACTGCAGCAAAAACATGGGATCCAACTATAATTAGTTGGGAAAGTTGATACAGTAAGGTTTTGATTCCATAATATGATTAAGATTTGAAACAGGTTGTACCGCAATATTTCAAACCAGTGAGTGGTGTTAACATGACAACGCGACGTGTTTTAGAATATGAAAAGTATCTGACTTTCGCAACTCTATCTTTCATTCAGAGCATTTGACATTTGTCGGACGTACTTGCAACGCTAGATACCTATTGTTGGCAGTTGAGTTGCACTGTGCTGTAGCGTTTAGACTCACATTTGATTCATGTGGACATAAGTTCCATATTACAAAACCAAATGATATGTATATATATATATATATATATATATATATATATATGTATATATATAATAAAAGTGTTTGCTTTAGGGTTTTTTGACACAATAATACACAAGTATTGAGATGAAACAAAATGTCATATAGTGTTCTACGAACAGAGGACGTTTAGGTGTTCTGGAAACATTTTCCGAAACGCGTTATTTTAGTCTGGTTGTCAGATAACACCCAAATTCATTCATGATTGTTGAGTATCGGGTGAGGTATTGCAATTTTGAGTCCTGTACCGAAGGAAAATCAACATTTTTGGGATCTCTTTCTAAATACGTTGCTTTAAGGCGATCGATTCTGATGTTATTGTTAGTTTCATTCTTATCAGTTTTATAGTACATAGGTTTACGCTGAAGAACTTTGATGGGTTCATCAAGTGCCACCAAAGTGAGTCGCAACGTTCAATGACGTGTGTATTATATTGTGGGGCAGGTTGAGTGAAACATCAGTTGATTGCGCTCGAGTGTAGAAAGGTTTAACTGAACACGTTGAGTTTGTAAGCTTGCTTGCGTAAGATTTTAGATCCATATTCAGTTTCAATTCAGAAAGGACAGGAGGCTTGATGGCCTGTGTTAATCCTGGTGGTGATGGTCTCTTAGTTTATCCAAATTTCTTTTGAAAGTGTCGACTGATGAAGCTTCAATCACGTGTTGAGGTAGTCGGTTCCACTTATTGATGGTTCAATCGGGAAGTCGATAGTCGACTGACAAGTAATTTGTTCTGGG